CCTTTATCGGCGCTCATTGTTTGTTAAAAAGTTATTAACAAAAGAAGTTGCATAAAATGAATATAATTTTTGGACATTGTATATACAAAAACATGGAATTTGTAAGCTAGGAAGGTGCGAGGCGTACGTAATCACGTACACACACACACACGTTTCACACACACTGGTCGCCGGCACGCGCGCTCGCCCATCCGCCCGGGTGAGTTCGCGGTGTGTGCGTGTGTTCCTATTATATTTGAAGCTTTGTAAATATACACTTTTTCTTACACTTTTGTGAAAAATTCTCACTCTTTAGCTCAAGTACAATAGACTTGGCCCCCCTCCCGTCACGGCGCGAGGGATCTGGGGGGCATAGCCCCCCAGTTACACGACTAGAGACAGGTATTTTTCCTGTCTCATTAATATCTTGGAAACGCGATTGCCATATAGGCGTGTTTATATTATTATTTATTATTAAAAAAAAGTATGTATTTATGAAACTTCAAATATAATACGAACACACGCACTGTTGCCCGGGCGGGTGCGCATTGCGCGCGTGCAAGCGAGCAATGTGTGTGTATGTGTGTGTGTATGTGTGTACGTACGTACATACGTTTAATAAAAAAGATAGCCTGTCTCTAGTCGTGTAACTGGGGGGCTACGCCCCCCAGATCCCTCGCACCACGGAGAGAGGGGGGCCAAGTCTGTTGTACTTAGCTAAAGAGTGAGAATTTCTCACAAAAGTGTGAGAAAAAGTGTGTGTTTATAAAACTTCAAATATAATACGAACACACGCACACACCGCGAGCCCGCGTGACGGCGAACAGTATGTGTGTGTTTTTTTTTTTATTAATATTCGCACATATTCGTGTACTATTCACTATATTTCCATATACAAAAATTACATTCAACTTTTGAAACTTTTTTGTTAATAACTTTTTAACAATGAGCGCTGATAAAGGTCAATAGCATTGACCTCCTTGAGGATCGAGATTGACATTAAGGTTATTCCGAAATTATTTGGAGCTGGCTGTATAAAGATAAACATTTACAGCAATATGATAAAAAGCGACGGAGATAAGTATATCTCCAACGCAATGTATATATTGTTACATAAACATTGTAACTGTCAAATTGTACATAATAATAAAATTATCTTAGGCAAAATGAGCTACTCTATACATTGAATGTTTAATTTGAATGTGGTAATTATCGAGAAAATGCATGGTATCATTTCCTGATATTGCAATATTTGCAATATTTGTAAGATATGCAATATTTGCCTCACACAAGTTTTTAAACATTCATATTTGTGAAATACATAATCACTAGACAGTGTAACTTAAGGTTATCGTATGTATATACATATGTATACGATGATTCGCGTAAGATCATATTCCTATTTGTCAGTGTACTCGTTAATTAGATTATATATTCGTATTTTTCATTACCAATTCTGATATTTTGTACAGGTAATATCACGATGCAAACAGAGAGGATGTTTTGACCTACTAAGAAGATAATTACAAATTTTTGCTATTGTAGCATAAACTGCTGAAAGCAGTTATATATTTATTGACTGATAGATTTGTTGCCAAAATATGCCATTATCATCGAGCAGACGATGAATACAAAAATAAGAAACTGCATAGATATCCATACATACACATAAATATAGAAAAATATATTTATTCTTCTTGATCAAGGGAAGGGGAAATAAAATGTTAATTATCTTGTTCCAAGAGCTAAGTATTACATCACGTCAGAGCATTAATCGACGTATCAGTCGTCTTCGTGCTCTCGAATAACGCACATTCATTGATACAGACGCTGAGCTTAGAAAACAACTAGTTAATATTAAAAATTTTCGATTTGAACTTACGATATTTTCGACGTCGATCCTGAAAATTTATAAAAAAACAAAAGAAACTAGAGAACTACTCCATAAATTTTCCATAAGGTAAGTTATTACTGAAAAGGAAAAACGTTTGTACAATAGAATAGTTAATTTAATATATTTTTTTCTAATTACGGATATAAAATTAATTGACAATTGGCCCAGCATTCTTACAGCTTGCACAAATATAACATCAAGCGATACGCATTAAATCGTAATATTACATTTTCAGCAGCCTAAAATCGTTAGGTACGTGACACAATCATGGAGGCATGCATGGAGGCCAGTTGTGCAGCTGCAACGACTAGTGCTTCTACGTTCATTTTCCTACAACTGGTGCAATCACTTCTAGTCGCACAATGCGGTTTGAGCGACAATTATCCACCGGACCGTTCGGAAGAAATCGCGAATAGCAACATCGAATTCGATTTTGTCATCGTAGGCGCCGGGAGCGCTGGATCCGTAATAGCTAATCGTTTGACCGAAGTAGAAAACTGGAAAGTATTGCTGATCGAGGCCGGAGATGACCCCTCAGCTGTCAGCGAGGTCCCATTGTTATTCCCAGAGACGTTATCCACGTCGGAAGATTACTCCTACGACGCCGAGCCTGACGAACTCATCTGTCAAAGCTCCAAAAATAAAGTGTGCAAATGGCGTAAGGGTAAAGCTCTCGGCGGTAGCACCACGATAAACGGTATGATCTACCATTACGGTAACGATGAGGATTATAACGAGTGGTCCCGGATGGGTAACGAAGGATGGAGCTACGAGGAGGTTCTGCCGTATTTCAAGAAATCACAGAGCTGCAATTACGTTCACAGCGACGAGAGGGAATATTGCGATCACGGTGGACCAATGCACATCGGATATTTTAATTACACCGACACAGGAATACAAAAATTGTTTATGAGCGCCGCTCGCGAGTTGAATGTGCCTATTCTAAATACCGTTAACGGTGACAAGTACATTGGATACGGCATAGCTCCGGCAAATGTGCACGAGGCTCGCAAGATGAACACGGCAAGAGCCTTCTTGTCACCGATTAAAAACAGGAGCAATTTCTACGTGATGAAGTCCACTCGAGCTGACGCCGTTCTCCTGCGAGGCACTCAGGCGATCGGAGTACGTGTGACTCTAAAGAATGGCAGGTCAATCGACGTGAGAGCATCGAAAGAGGTGATTCTGTCCGCCGGCACTGTCGCCAGTCCACAACTGCTAATGCTCTCCGGCATTGGACCTAAGCAGCATCTTCTTGAAATGGGCATACCGAGTGTTGTTGATTTGCCAGTCGGCAAAAATCTTCAGAACCATGTCGGTTGGCAAGGTATATATTTGACCTACAAGAATGAGACCGCGAGACCGCCATCGTCCACGTTCATTTCAGATGAAGCTTATGAATATTTAATGTATAAACGTGGTAGTTTGGCGACCAGTGGTGGTTTCGATTTTGTCAGTTTTGTCAATGTATATGACTCAAACTCCAAGTATCCCGATATACAGTTCTTTCATGTTCACTATCCGCAGTGGAATGTAGACAAGCTGAACGTGATATCTAAAATATTCACTATGGACGACGATATGAAGCATGACATAATGAAAACGCTTAGGGAAGTCGACATTATAGCGCCTATGCCGTCCTTGCTGAAGCCGAAGAGCAAAGGCGAGTTGCGATTACGCAGTACGAATCCGGCGATTCCTGTCAAGATTTATGCAAAATGCTTTTCCGAGCAAAAGAACATCGAAACGATGTTAGAGTCCTTGAACTTTATAAAGAAAGTGCTAAAAACTGAGACATTCGTACGACAAGGAGTATCGTTGCATCATCTGGATATTCCAGGTTGCCGGCACACCGAATCCGATTCCGACGAATACTGGAGATGTAACTTGCGACACACTTCCATCACATATTACCACGCAACTGGTACAGCGAAAATGGGTCCTCGAAGTGATCCTACAGCCGTCGTAGACGCTCGATTGAGAGTACACGGAGTGCAAGGGCTCAGGGTCGTCGATGCATCTATTATGCCGACGATCATAAGCGGAACTACGATGGCACCTACGATAATGATAGGAGAGAAAGGTGCAGATTTAATCAAGGAGGATTGGGCGGATGTGGGTGGCAAAGCTGATTAGAAAACAACACAGCTGTACCACGTTGTATATAGTAGATGGAAGGCTCCCCTTCTCGTGTTGCAACTTGCGAATTAACAAGCGAACACATAATTGAATTGGGAAATTTAAGAAAATCTCTCGTACAATGTATGATTTTTATCAAGTATATGATTTTATAACTTATGTTTTATTTTGCAATATTTCATTGTATGTGTCACATTTCATTGTGCACATAATAAAGTTTATATTTTATCAACTTTAAATTATGCACTGTGATTAAATAAATACAAAAGCGTCTTAATTTTTTTTCCACCAGTCACCGCTAAGCAAACATTAATGATAACATTAACTTGTAAATTATTATGTACTGGTTTATAACATATTATTCTACTAAATAATTATAATTGTAGTAATCTGGTATTTAGTAATCTAGATTTTTGTTAATTTCTATGATTTTATTTATGATAAAATGAAAAACAAAAGTATCAAACAAAAGTACCATATAAAAATTATCAAAACAAAAACTTCAAAACGAAAAGTACATGTTAATTTAAACAAAGTGCAAATATTTTAAATTAATTATATTCAAAAAAGAAGTAAGATCAATATAATTAACCAAGTAAGTACGTATATACGTAAGTACTTATTACATAAATAATTGTATGATAAGTTGTAATAATATTAATAATTGGACGCTGAAATATCCAAATATCAAATTGAAAAAAACTCAACATCGAGGATCAAAAACTCTCGGCGTGCCCCAATAAATAAATTCATAAATAAATTCATAAATATATTCATACAGAAAAGTCATTCCTATACAGGGTGTCCGGTAACTGATCGAGCAATTGCCATGTACGGGTAGAACGGGTCAAAATAATGATAAAATTATATACCATTTTGAAATTTTCTCAATATTTATTCCGTAATTAATTAAAATGTATAAACGAATGAGCGCACGAGAAGCGGAAGGCTAGGTTCTGTATGTAAAAGAAATGGCTTACCTCTTAGCAACGATGAGTAAACAGCTGATTTCAAAACGGAATAACCAGCGACACGTATACATGTCCTACGCGTCCATTCTGATTGGTGCAGTGTATACGAAATTCTTTATAATATTTTACTTACGAAAAATCTTTTCTTTCTCGCCAATTAATTTCAAATTCAGATTATTCACATTTGCAATGCGGGTCGCAGACATCACAAGCGTAGATTGATGTAAAACTAATAATGAAATGTACGTGAAACTATATGGTCGATCATGAATCTTTTCGTCACATAAATTCGTGAATCGATGATTATTATAGATACATACTGCTTACTGCAGCCTATACAGGGTGTTTCACACTCTCCTCCGGGCATTTTTTGGGGACGTAGAATGGGTTGATATGAACATAAAAGTCCTGTACCGTTTTGCGATATTCGTAATAATTATCGAGATATTAATTGTAGAAAATGTGTGAATGATCATGCAGGATATGGTAAATGAATTATAATAGCGACGACTGCTATCGTGTACTTATATTTTAGGTCAAATTGAACAAAAAAGTCCTCTACCGTTTCGCAAATAATCACATAGATTTTTAATTATTAATTAAAGAAGATGAGTGCATTATCACGCGAAATCGTGCAATAATCTTCTTTAATCAATAATTAAAAATTTATGTGATTATTTGGAAAATGGTAGAGGACTTTTTTATTCAATTTGACCTAAAGTATAAATACACGACGGCAGTCGTCGCTACTATAACTTATTTACAATATTCATACCTCATTTAAAATAACTCATTTACAATTTACATATCCTGCATGATCATTCACAAATTTTCTACAATTAATGTCTCCATAATTATTGCGAATATCGCAAAACGATAGAGGACTTTTATGTTCACATCAATCCATTTTACGTCCCCAAAAAATGCCCGGAGGAGAGTGTGAGACACCCTGTATTACAAACGCAATCTGACGGATAAACGCATATCGCTTGTATGCGTGCGTTGTATGATCTGAAGCTGAATCGCTTGGTGATGCAAATGCGGCTTGAAGGACAAACTCATTCGCTTGTGTGTGCGTGCGTACGTGTGAACCTGAATTTGAAAAAACGGGAGAATCTGCGCGAAAATAAAAGGACTTTTTATCGGATGAGATTTCGAAACCTCCGTATGCCTGTACCAATCTTAATCAAACTCGGTGCAAATTACGCGCGCGCTAAACATTATATAACGAAACTTTCATCAGACTTTCGATTTTCGTGCTTAAGATATTTGACTTTGAAGACCAGAAATCGACCCAGAAATTCCAAATAACCTTATAGGTATCGCGTTTTTTGTTTACGTACTCAGCGGCGCTTAATATATCTTTCTCTCTTTTGGAATAAGCAATGTTATAAAAAGCATTAAAACATTATTACAAAATAAAGTCTATATGTGTCAATTTATATAATTTAGTTGTACTCTCTTATCGAATTATATTTAATAATTAAATTATCTTAAATTGTGTGAGTTATAGAGTACAGCTAAAGTTTTGGTTCGTTATAGTACAGTGCTCAGAATTACATATATAAATGAGGTGATTTTTCTCTTATTGCTCCAATTCGGACTACGCAACTGATAATCACAATCTTCGACCTCAAGATTATTGACATTACGAAACCATGCGAGGTATTTCCTAATATCTGAAAAATTGTTATCGAAACAACTTTTTTACGTATAAAATTTTTACACTAGCAATATACATTTATACATTATTAAAATTACAACGTAACAATAGGTTTCCACGTTATCCATGGAGTACTTTTGCAGACGCGTTATTTTTAAGTAGTATCCCCAATATAGGTCTATTCAATAGTCTACTGAAAGCATCTCATAGATTTCGTTATGTCATCAAAAGACAATTTTTTAAAATTAATATCTTGATAATTATTGCGAATATCATACAGAATCATTTTATATCTACCTCAATTCACTTCTTCGGTGAAAAATTATGATATCATTCTTGACACAAAACACACAATAGTATTTTTTCGCACGAGTTTATAAACTCGTTGATAGGAGGCATAATCACATGATAATGTAACTTTATTCTGCATCAATTTTTATAATGTTGCATTCTCGAAACTCATAAAAAATTACTAAATATATAAATTTGCATTCTGCATTATCATTTTTACTAAGCTAAATAGACAAATTTATGATAGATTACGTAACAGAAAATTCTAAATTAACAACTTAAAGTATAAAGCGATAAAGATAGATAACGATTGATAACAATTACGGGCTATAAACTTGTTCTGACTTACGTCATCCATATTAACCTAAAAAAAGAATGAGTGGATGCAAGAGACAGTGTAAGATGTTTCAGTCGCTAAAGCGATGTCCAATAGAACACATTGCACAATTCAGTTAATCGTGTAGCTTAGAAGACTACAACTAAACATTTCAGAACAGCACTTTAAGTTTGCAATATTTTCGCCAGTATATAGCGAGACAGTGATTTATCACAGAGAACGGAACGAAAACGGGAGATACCAAAGAAATTTTCCAGATTCATACAGTGAGTTATTATCTAAATAAAAAATTCCTGCTCTATAAAATAGCTAATTTAATGTGTATACACAAATATTATTGTGTAACAATATTATTTCTTCCATTTCTAACTTATTTTTCTTCCTTTATAAGCCAAAAATTAACCGATAATTGGCTCAGTATTATGATAACTTGAGAATCAATCAATGTGTGTTAACATTGAATACTATATTTTCATATAGCATGAAATTGTTAGGTACGTAACACGATCATGGAGGCATGCGTGGCAGCCAGTTGTGCAGTTGCAACTACTAGTGCCTCCACTATTTTCTTGCAACTGGTGCAATCGCTTCTAGTCGCACATTGCGGTTTGAGTGACGCGAGCAATAATTATCCATCGGACCGCTCGGAAGAAATCGCGAATAGCAACATCGAATTTGACTTTGTCATCGTAGGCGCCGGAAGCGCCGGGTCCGTAGTAGCTAATCGTTTGACCGAAATAGAAAACTGGAAAGTATTGCTGATCGAGGCCGGAGACAATCCCTCAGTTATCAGCGAGGTCCCCGGGTTCTACGCACACTTGTTATCGTCGCAGTATGATTACTCTTACGAACCTGAGCCCGACAAACTCGCTTGCCAAAGTTGCAAAAACAAGCTGTGCAAATGGCCTGGAGGTAAAGCTCTCGGCGGTACTTCCACAATGAACGGTATGCTCTACGTTCACGGCAACGAAGAGGATTATAACCAGTGGTCCCGGATGGGTAACGAAGGATGGAGCTACGAGGAGGTTCTGCCATACTTCAGAAAGTCGCAAAACTGCGATCGCGTACACAGCGACGAGTGGAGGAGAAGATACTGCGGTCATGGTGGGCCGTTGGATATCAGATACTTTAATTATACTGACACAGAAATGCGCGAAATGTTTATGGACGCCGCTCGCGAATTGAATATACCCACTTTAGAAACTATTAACGGTGACAAATACATTGGATACGGCAAAGCTCAGGGAACTTCGAATGATGGTCGCAGAATAAGCGCGGCAAAAGCTTTCTTGTCACCGATTAAAAACAAAAGCAATTTCTACGTAATGAAATCTACCCGAGCCAACGCCGTTCTCCTAAATGATACTCGGGCTGTTGGAGTACGCGTGACTCTGAAGAATGGCAAGTCGATCAATGTGAAAGCGACGAAGGAAGTGATTCTGTCTGCCGGCGCTATCGCCAGTCTACAACTATTGATGCTCTCTGGCCTAAGCAGCATTTATTCGAAATGAGAATAAAGAGTGTTGTCGATTTGCCAGTCGGCAAGAATCTTCGTAATCATGTCAGTTGGCAAGGACTATTTTTGGCCTACAAGAACAAAACCACAACACCGCCGTCGTCCACATCTACCCTTGACGAAGCTTACCAATATCTAATACATAAATAAGGTATTTTAAGGGATAAGGGAACTAACGGTGGTTTCGATTTCGTAAGTTTTGTTAATGTAAGCGACTCGAACTCCCGACATACAGTTCCTTCATGTTCATTATCCACGATGGCATATGCAAAATGTGGACGCGATGTGGCGTGTATTCTCTTTAGATGAAAGGATAAAGCATATAATGAAAATGCTTGATGAAGTTGATATGATGGTGCCTGCTCTGTGTCTAGTCAAGCCAAAGAGCTCTGGTGAGCTGCGGCTGCGTAGCAAAGATCCGGCGGTCCTTATTAAGATCTACGGGAACTTCTATTCCGAGCATGAAAATGTGGAAGTAATGTTGAAGTTCTTAGACTTCATAAAGAAAATGCTGAAAACCGAGGCATTCGTACGACGAGAAGTATGGCTGCATCATTTGGACATTCCAGATTGCCGACGCACCGAACCCGATTCCGACGAATATTGGAGATGCAACCTGCGACACATGTCTATGGCGTTCTATCATCCCGTTGAAACAGCCAAAATGGGCCCTCGGGATGATCTCACGGCCGTCGTAGACGCTCAATTGAGAGTTTACGGAGTACAAGATCTCAGAGTCATCGATGCATCTATCATGCCAACGATTACTAGCGGACCCACGAATGCGCCTACGATACACTGAGAGAAAAAAATAGTTGGAATAACTATAATCTCACTATATTTTATAGTTCGTTTTGGCCTCAAACATATATTTATAGTTCATCTAAACATGAAGATATAGTATTAGGACCTTAACTTAGTTTCCGCCCGCAAATGTTAGAGGGCAATGCAAACAGTTCTAGTAGTCATTACTAACGAAACAGGTAGTTTGTGATTAATTTCGACATTTCTCGATAACATTCAGTCAGCATACACAATTATTTTCCTAAACAACAATTTCTTTTGCTTTGTGAAAAATGGAACGCGATAAAGTGTTTTTTCGACATGTGCTTTTGCACT